CATAAACCAGTGGTGAGAGGACTGTTGATACGGAGAGCATCAGTCCTCTGTAAACAAGCACAAAAACTCACTCTCGACCTACGAAAAGAACTGTACGATATAAACCGCCAAAACCAACTCTCCCCTTCCGACAACAAAAGACAGCGCATACTCCAAATAACCAGAGCTCTTAATAAACAAGCCCTAGACCACACAGAGCGCACCCTGCAACGCCTGAAACACCACCAATACACACAAGGCAATAAGGCTAGCAAACTACTAGCGCAAAACCTTAGAGCCCAGCAAGCCTCCCAAAAGATAGCCTACCTATACAAAACCAATAAGCACAGAGGAATTAATGGGGGTGATAAAATCCCTGCCATCGGGTAAATCCCCGGGACCTGATGGGCTAGACAACATGTATTATAAAAAATTTGGCACCATCCTGGCACCCTACATAGTCAAATGCTACACACAGGCCATTGAGCACAAAACCTTACCCACTGAAATGTTACAGGCACATATAGTAACGCTACCCAAACCAGGCAAATCACCCACACTGCCGCAGAACTTCCGGCCAATATCACTACTAAATACAGATGCCAAGATCCTGGCAAAAGTATATGCACTCCGACTGGGGGTAATCCTGCCAACTATCATACATAACGACCAAGTGGGCTTCATCAAAGGAAGGCAAGCGGCTGACAATACGAGGAAAGTGCTCAATATCTTGAACTGGCGATTTCTCCACGAGGTGATGCACACGTTCGACATCCCAGAGGGGTTTGTGTCGATGGTAGAGGCGCTGTATAGCTCCCCTGGGGCCCAGGTGCTCAACTCAGGGTTCCCCTCAGAGCCCATAAAACTGACGAACGGCACTAGGCAGGGATGTCCCTTGTCGCCACAGTTATACGTATTGGCCCTGGAACCCCTGGCGGTAAGGATAAGAAACAACCCAAACATACATGGCGTCACGATCAGAGACAGGTAATACACGACCAATCTATTTGCGGATGATATTCTACTGACCCTTACCCAACCTTAAATCTCTCTCCCAAATCTGTTACAGGAAATTTCCACATACGGAAAACACTCCTACTAAAAACTAAACATCACAAAGACACAAGCCATGGGAGTGGGAATTACAAACAACACGTTGGAGCTCCTACAAAAATCTTTCACGCTAGATTGGAGGCGGGACCATTTGACTTTCCTAGGGATCAAACTCACAAAAAACCCGACAGACTTACTGGCGGCAAACTATGACCCACTGCTGAAGAGTATAGCGAACACCCTGAAGGGGTGGGAGGGGAAGTTCCTGTCATGGCTAGTCATGGTAGGATGGCCGCAATCAAAATGATAGTGTTACCAAAATTTAAATACTTGATAAGAACCCTACAAATCCACGTACCAAAACCACACCTAGATAAATTGCAAAAACTCATAACGGGCTTTATTTGGGCACACCAAAAAGCTAGGGTGCCAGCTAAAGTACTGAGCAAACCGCAGGCACAAGGGGGCTTGGGGATGCCAGACATCAGTGGCGTACTAAGGGGGGGCGGAGGGGGCGGTCCGCCCCGGGTGCCACCAGGGTGGGGGGTGCCATGACCAGGGGCGCCGACCCCCCCATGCTGCACCGCCCGGGCGCAACATGGGGAGAGGGGCTGACAGGAGCGTGGCCGAGCCCACTATTGGTCCGCGGGTACAGAGAGCATCCCTACCTGTAGCGTGGCCGAGCCCACTATTGGTCCGCGGGTACAGAGAGCATCTGTCTCCTGTACCCGGATGGACTAACAGGAAGTGCACTGTTCCTGTTAGTCCGGCCAGGTACAGGAGACAGATGCTCCCTGTACCCGCGGACTATACTGGGCTAGACCACGCTACAGGGAGGTAGGGGGGCAGGGGAGAAAGAGA